TTACTTCAGCCTCTCTAGACAAAGTCCAGGCAATGGCCTTGGCCATTCTCTTCCTTTGCAAATGTGGAGTCCTGTCCTAAATATGAATCCAATAGCTTCACTCTGACAGTTTTCCTTATGCTGACCATATGCTTTTCTATACAATTTTTTTTTTGTCTTGGCTTCCATATCCTCACACTCTATTGTCCTACAGGGAAATCTGTTACTTTCTGTCCTTTGGAACAACTACTTTCACATGTCACTGTGTGTTATATGTCAACATTTACTTTTGATGGACTATTCTGCTTTCACAGTAAACTTTCCCAGCTGTTGGCTTCCTCTATTCCCCAGGATCTGCCTCCTGGGGCATTATAATTCATCCTACCAAGTAAAAAAGTAAGTCAAACCTTCTCATATTCCTTATTAAAATAAGACACTGTTATTAAAATAATACAGTATTTTTTGTAATTAACGCCTGAACAGGTTATTTCCTAGGTCAAAACCCTGCAAAACTGAGTAAAACACAACAACTTATCTTTAATGTGCTCTGCAAAATGGTGGAACCTAAATTTTCTATCTTTATTTTTCACTAATTTTCAAAAGGTTTTGTTTTAGTTTTGCTTTGTTTTAATGAAGACTTTCTTTTTTTAGAGAAGTTTAAGTTTCACAGCAAAATTGAGGGGAAGGTACAGCGATTTCTATGTGGAGGCCCTTGCCACCACACATATATCAGTCACCTCCCCCATTACCAACATCCTCCACCAGAGCGGTCCATTTGTTAAAATCAATGGACTTGCAAAGATATATCATTATTACACAAAGTCCATAATTTACTTTAGTGTTTTTCTTGGTGTTGTACATTTTGAGTTTGGACAAATGTATAATGACATATATCCATCATTACTGTATCATACAGAATATTTTCACTGTCCTAAAATTCCTCTGTGCTCTGTCTATTAACGTGCCCATTCTCTGCCACCCCCAACCCCAACAATCATAGCTTGATACTCATCTATTTTTACCACCGAATAACATTCCATTGTCTGAAGATACTAGTTTGCTTATTCATTCTCCTATTGAAGGTCATTCTGATTGCTTCCAGGTTTGGCAATTACAAATAAAGTTGCTATAAACATCTATTAGCAGGTTTTTGTGTGAACATAAGTTGTTTTTAACTATTTTGAATAAATACATAATAACATGATTATTAGATGGTATGATAAAGGTATGCTTAATTTTGTAAGAAACTACTAAACTGTCTTCCATAGTGGCTATACCATTTTTTCATTCCTACCAGCAATGTATGAGAGTTTCTGTTGCTTCACATTCTTGCTGGCTTTGTTGTTACCATGTTTTGATTTTTGACATTCTAATAGGTGTGTAGTGGTATCTCATTGTTGTTTAAATTTGCATGGAACAATGACATACAATGAGGAGCATCTTTTTACATGCTTATATGCCATTTGTATATTCTCTTTGGTAAAGTGTCTGTTAAGGTCTTTGGCCGATATTTTAATCAGTTTTTGCTTTCTTATTGTTGAGTTTTAAGAGTTCTTTGTACATTTTGGGTAACAGTCCTTTATCAGATGTGTTTTTTACAAATCTTTTCTCTTAGTCTATGGGTTTTCCTCTCATTTCCTTGATATTGTCTTCCAAATAAAAAGGTTTTAATTTAAATGAATTACAGTTTACCAACTATTTCTTTTATAGGCCAGATCTTTGGTGTTGTATCTTAAAATGTCATTACCATACCCAAAGGCTTCAAGGTTTTTTTTCCTATGTCATCTTTCAGAAATTGCATAATTTGTATTTTACATACATATGTGATCTTTTTGAGTTAATTTTTCTGAGGGGAGTAAGATCTGCCTCCAGGTTCATATTTTTTCATGTGTATGTCCAGTTGTTCTAACATCTACTCTTTAAAGCCAATATTTCCTCCATGGTCAAAGATCATTTGATTATATTTACATGGGTCAATTTATGAACTCTTTCTTCTGTTCCATTGATCTATTGGTCTATTCTTTTACCAATACCACACTGTCTTGAATACTTTAGCTTTATACCAAGTCCTGAAATTGTATAGTGTCAGTCCTCCAACTTTGTTCTTCTCTTTCATTTATGTGTAAGTTATTCTGTATCTTTTGCCTGTATATAAACTTTAGAATCAGTTTGTAAATATACACAAAATAATCTTCTTGGATTTAGATTGCATTAATACTATATATTAAGTTAGGAAGAAATGACATCTTGCCAATATTGAGTCTTCCTATCCATGAACATGAAATATCTATTTATTTAGTTCTGATTTGATTTAATTCATCAGAGATTTGTAGTTCTCATCATAGAGATTTTCACATATTTTGCTAGATGCAAACCTAAGTATTTCATTTTTGGGGGTGCTCATATAAATTGTATTTCATTTTTAATTTTATAAATCCACCTGTTCACTGATGGTATATAGAGAAATAATTGCCTTTTAAAAAAAGTAACCTTATATCCTGCAATCCTGCTATAATCATTTAGTTCCAGCAGGTCTTTATTATTATTATTATTAATTTGGAATATCTACAAATGATTATGTCATCTGTGAAAAAATACAGTTTTCTTTCTTTTTTTCCCAATCTGTATACCTTTTATTTCCTCTTCTTGCCTCATTGCATTGCTGTTGAAAAGGAGTGATGAGTGGGGACAATTTTGCTTTGTACCTGATTTTAGAGGGAAAGCTTTAAGTTTCTCACCAGTAAGTGTGCTATTTTCTGTAGTTTTTTTGTAGATATTTTTTATTAAATTGAGGAAGTTCCTCCCTCTTGCTTGTTTCCTCAGAATGTTTATGTTGATCTTTCAAATGTTTCATCTGTATCTACTGATATCTTATTTTTTTCAGGCTACTTATGTGGTGGATTACATTAATTTATTTGAAATGTTGAATCAGCCTTGCATGCCTGGAAAAATATTACTTAGTTGTAGTATATAATTTTTTATACATTGTTGGATTAAATGTGCTCATACTTTTGAGGTTTTTGTCATGCCTGGAAAAATATTACTTAGTTGTAGTATATAATTCTTTTATACATTGTTGGATTAAATGTGCTCATACTTTGTTGAAGTTTTTGTTATCTCTGCTCATGAGAGAGATATTATTCTGCATTTTTCTTTCCTTGTAATGTCTTTGACTAGTTTTGGTACTAGAACAATGCTAGTCACACAGAATGAGGGATGAAGTACTTTCTCTGCTTCTATCCTCTGAAAGAGATTATAGAGATTTGGTAGAAATTCTTCCTTAAGTGTTTGGTAGAAATTCACCAGTGAACCCATCTGGGCCTTATGCTTCCTGCTTTGGAAGGTTATTAATTATTGTTTCAATTTCATTAATAGAAATAGACCTATTCAGATTGTCTATTTCTTCCCAGTAACTTTTGACAAATTTTTTCTTCGAAAAATTGTGTCCATTTTGTCTATCTGTAGCAATTTCCCTCTTTCATTTCCAATATTAATAATTTGTGGTTTTTTCTTTTTTTCTTAGTTATCCATCTGGGGACTTAATCAATTCCATTGATCTTTTCAAAGAAAGTTTTTGATTTTAATGATTTTCTCCACTTATTTCATGTTTTTAACTTCATTAATTTTTCTCTAATTTTATTATTCCTTTCTTACCTTTACTTTGGGTTTAATTTTTCTCCTTTTCTAGTTTCCTAAGGTGAAAACTTAGATTATTAATTATAAGTGTTCTTTTCTAATATGTGCATTCAATTCTATAAATTTCCCTCTAAGCTCTGCTTTATCTGCATCTCAAAATTTTAACAACCTGTATTTTCATTATTATTTAGTTCCAAATATTTTTTGAATTTCTTTTGACTTTCTTTTTGACCCATATGCTACATCAAAATGTGTTTTTGAATCTCCCTTTATTTTTGGAATTTTCAGTGATTTTTTTATGTTATTGATGTCTAGTGTCATTTTGTGGTTTTCTGAGAGCAGACATGGTATGATTTTAATACCCTTAAATTTGTTAAAGTGTGTTTCATGGCCCAGAATGTGGTCTATCTTGGTGAATGTTCAAGGTAAACTTGAGAATGTTTATTACTGGATGAGTTGGTCTACAGATGTCAGTTATATCTAGTTACTGATGATGGTGTGACTTCAATATATTGTTATTGATTTTCTGCCTGCTGGATCTATTTCTAATAGATCAGTGCCCAAGTCTCTAACTAGACTTATTTATTCCTCTTTGAAATTCTGTTAATTTGTCCCTCATGTAGGTTGACACTCTGTTGTTAACTGCATTGAATTTAAGGATTATATCTCTTGAAGAATTAACCATTTTATCATTATGTAATGCCCTTCTTTATTTCTGATAATATTTCTTACTTTGAAATCTGCTCTGTCTGAAATTAACAGTTATTTGTGTTTTTTTATTACTACTAGAGGCCCAGTACATGAAATTCATGCATGGGGGGCAGGCGGGCTTTGTGTTTTTATATTACTACTAGAGGCCCAGTACATGAAATTCATGCATGGAGGGCAGGGGGGCTCCTCAGCCTGGCCTGCACCCTCTCGCAATCTGGGACCTTTTTGGGGATGTCCTGCGGGATCAGGCCTAAACTGGCAGTTGGAAATCCCTCTAGCAATCTGGGACTTCTGTCTCCTAACTGCTCGCTTGCCTGCCTGATCGCCTTAACCATTCGCCTGCCTGCCTGATCACCCCTAACTGCTCCCTCAGGGGTGGGGCCAGCCTGGGAAAGGGGCTATGGTGTTCTGAACTTTCCAACCAGGAATGTTTTAATAGGCAGTCTCCAAAAACTTGAACTGGAAAACCTAAAAGTAGAGTGCTCAGATTTCAGGCATCAGGTGCTATTAGCAGGATTTCTATCCCAATTAAATTCTAATTCTGAATTCTCAACAGTCTGGACAAACTGCCCTTCACTATCTCCAAAGTTTCTTATTTGTCACTATCCCATTCTCCTCCGCTTCAAACCAAGGTAACAAACAAAACCTTTAATTCTGATTTTCCTCGCTTCAAGGGAACAGCAAACCTCAATCGAAATAATTTCCCGCCAGAAGTCACGTCCAAATACTGTGAGACTGAGGACTATAGGACTGACTATGTACATGCACAATAACAGGCTCATGTTCTAGCAGTAGGTGCCTAGGTGTCCTCCACAATCCCACAATCCTCTGGTCAGATACTTCTGGTTTTTCTAGCTCCTCTTTAAGTGGTGTTTCCTTCAGTCGCGTTGCAACCTCCAGGGCCTCTAGTTGGAGAGGATTTTTCTATTCTTTGACATTGATACCTGTTTACTATTTGGGATGAGTGAAGTTTCGGGAGTACTGCCGCTGCGGTGAACATGTCGGTCCCAAGTGCACTCATGAAACAACCACCCATTCAGTCCACAGCTGGCGCTGTTCCGGTTCTCAATGAGAAAGGTACTGTGCTGAGCCGTTTTCCAAACGGATCTTCCTCTTCCTTCCCCAGTACACTCCAAACCTACTCCATGCCGACCTCTCCAAGCCTGCAGACCCTTAAGACCTTACCCCCTATTTCTTCGACTTTCCCCCATCAAACTCACACTCTATTGCGTTGCCTGGGGGTGCCCCTAACCACTCCCTGGGGGGCAGAGCCAGCCTGGGTGAGGGGCTGTGGTGTTCTGGTCTCTGGTCATTCCATCATTTGTTCGCTGGGCTTTTATTATATAGGATTTGCATGCATATTTTACTCCATTTACTTACTTTTATTCTGTATGTGAATTTATATTTAAACTGGGTTTCTTTCTTTTTTTAATTAGCAAACATTACCTTCTATTTGAATGTCTTACAGTTTTTTAATTAAATTTATTGGGGCGACTTTGGTTAATAAGATTATATAGGTTTCAAGTGTAGTTTTTTGTGATACATGATCTGTATATTGCATTCTGGGCCCACCACCTAAGGTCAAATAATCTGTCACCATATATTTGATTCCCTTAACCCTTTACTACCCCTCTATTCCCCTTTCCCTCTGGTAGCCACCATACTGTTGTCTGTGTCTATGAGTATTTGTGACTTTCTTTTGCATAATCCACTCTTTTCTTGCCTGCTTGGTTTCTGAGAAGTACAATGTAATTCTTACTTTTGATTTTCTATAGGTAAGGGTTTTTTTCCCCCTCTGGTTACTTTCAGGATTTTTCCTTTATCTCTAATTTTCTGTAGCTTGAAGATAATATGCTTACATATTTAAAAACACACACACACATCTTTATTGATTTCAGAGAGGAAGGGGGAGAGAGAGAGAGAGAGAGAGAGAGAGAGAGAGAGAGAGAGAGAGAGAGAGAGAGAGAGAAACAACAATGATGAGAGAGAATAATTGATCAACTGCCTTCTGCACACCTCACACAGGAGGGGGAATCAAGCCTACAAACCTGGGCATGTGCCCTGACTGGGAATCGAACCGTGACCTCCTGGTTCATAGGTTGGTAGATACTCAACTACTGAGCCACATTGGCTGGGCTATGCTTAAATGTTTATTCACCTTGGTGTTCTCCAAGAAATTATCAGTCATTATTGTTTCAAATATTTATTTATGTTTCTTTTCCTTCTGGTATTCACATTTAATTTTGTAGTTGTCCCACAGTTTTCGAATATTATGTTCTGAATTTTTGTCATTGTTTCCTTTGTTTTTGGTTTTCAAGAATGCTATTGATATATCCTCTTTCTCCAATATTCTAATTTGTCCAGTCTAGTAATAGCTCATCAAAATCAGTCTTCATTCCTATAAGAGTATTTTGTTATTTTAACTTCTAGCATTTCTTTTTAGTTCTTTCCTAGGATCTCTATCTCTCTGCTTATATTGCCCATCTGTTCTTGCATGCTTTCTACATTATCCATTAGAATTATTAGCATATTGCTCATAGTTGTTTTAAATTTTTAGTCTGATAATTCCAGCATTCTTGTAATATCTTATTCTGATGCTTATTCTTTCTCTTTAAATTGTCTTTTTTTTTTTTGCCTTCTGGTGGAACTTGTACTTTTTTTTTTTATAGATAGTCATCCATGATGTACCAGGTAAAAGGAACTGCAGTAAATGGGCATTCAGTAATGTGGTGGTGTGGTGTTGGATAAAAGAGGTATTCTATAGTCTTATGGTTAGGCCTCAGTGTCATAGTGAGCCTATGCCTCTGGACGGTGAACTTCACAAATGTTTTCAGGTTTGTTTTTTTCCCTCCTGAGATGGGACATGGCTAGATTGGGCTCAAGTTGTGCATTTATTTTTCTCCTATGTGGAAGATTAGAGCTTAAGCATGTTAGGCTCAGATAACACCCAGCAGGTTAGACTCTGGTTAACTAGTTTCCACTAAAAGCAGGCCTTGTTGGGAAGAACAGAGTGCTTTGGTATATTTCAAAATGTTGCCTTTTCTCTCCTTCTGTTGGAAGCAGAGGGGTTTATTCTCAGATAATATGGAACCTGGTCAAACCCCTAGAGGCAAATCTCACAATGTTTTGGAGATCTCTTAATGACTGTGTCTCCCTGAAATTTTTAGCTCTCTGAATTATCTGTACTGAAGCTCCAGCAATTTGCTAATTACAGCTCAAGTTTCCCTACCTCTGTGCCAGTCCCCATTATGGTTCCTGTTTGTAAGTCTCTGCTCATGTAAGCCAGGACTCTGCATTTAACTGTCCATCTTTCCAGTCTTGAGGGCAGTGGTTTTCCCTGTGTCCTCCCCTCCCTATGAATCTAAGAATTGTGGATTTTTCAGTCTGTTCAGCTTTTTACTTGTTATTAGGATGGAGTAGTGACTTCCAAGCTTCTTACATGTAGACCTGGAAAAATAGCATTACTATTTTGTATAACCCCTAAACTCTGTATACCCTAGTGACTTTATATTGTCCCCTATAAATTCTAGTAAAAATGACAAACATAAATCTCTGAATCATAATTATTTATATACATATTTATATCTCCTACTATTAAGTGATCTAGACCTAATTTATTAATGTGTTCTCCAGCTCATTGTACGAAGTAGGTACTCAATAAGTTTTCCTAGTTTTTTTTTCAGACTCAGTTTAGAAAGAGGATTTAAAGAAATAGTCAGAAGAATTTCTGTGTATCCTAAAACCACTTTCAGATTACATTAAAATCATGAACCAACAACATCTGTATATTACTATGAAGTGAGCTTCAGATTTTTTTGAATATTACCAATTTTTCCATCAATGTGTGTGTGTGTGTGTGTGTGTGTGTTCTTTCTGTTTTAGGGTTGGACAAAGAATAATTTTGAGTTTTTAATTTTTATTTACACAGAAGGAAACATAACAAGCTCATCGGGAATATTATGGCTTTAAGGCTGGGAAACATATGGAAGAGAGTTTGGGTTATCAGTGTATCCTCTTTGGTCTTTTTGGTTTCTATAGACAACTTGTAGATTAGAGTGTTGAAAGTCTAAATGCAAAGCAATTTTTATTTATTTATCTTACTTTGACTCTTCCATGTTATCCTGAATATGAAACGTGAATACTTTTAGGGTTTTCCTGCCAAAGTACCATAGTCTCTTCTATTTTTTGTAAATGACCGAAAGTGATAATAGCACATATTCAGTATACACTTACGAAGTGCTAAGCACTGTGCTAGCTACTTAGAACAAGTATAAATCTCTGTGCACAGTATCAGGTATGCAAGAAGTATGGTGTGCTTTCAGTTCCAACAAATCAACTGTACTTGGCTTCTGAGTCTCCATTCAATTGAAGTAGCAGAAATTCCAAAACTATAATTCATATACTCTCTCTTCCTCCTTGTAGAATTATGTCAGAGTTCTGGGAGTTTACAGATTGTCAGAATTGTGGATGGGAAGCCTTTGATCATCAGTCATCTGTCTCAGAGTTTATTGCTGAGGCATCCATTGCCTCTGATCACGGGGGCCTTTCAGACCTGGGCTTCTCTCTACCACTTTTCTGCAGTAATCAGGACAGAGAAAGTTTTTGTCATTCTGAATACACATGATGTGTAGGGAGTTGTCCCCTAAGAAATACCACCTAGGCTTTTTTCCTCAGCGTATTGCAGCCCTTGGGTCTATCCAGGCAGAATCCACAGATTTCTTTTGTAGCCCAGGGAAACCTTTTTCGTTTGGTTGGTTGGTGACAGTTTTCCTCTTACTTATAGTTTTCCTATGTCCTTATTTTCTCTACTCTTTGTTCTCTAAGTCCTAGTTTTAAAAATCCTAAAGAACTACTTTATACCGGTTTTCCCATCCTCCATATCACATACCCACCAGAGATAACAGAACAAGAATCCTGATGTCTGTGTGACTTGGGAGCAGTTAATACATTTACTCAAAAAATACAATGAAGTAGGTCTTTTTCTCATTTTACAAATGACAAAACTGATGAAAATCCTAATATACTTACCCATTTAATAAATGACACAGTGAAATAGCATAGTCCCCAAATTGAGTTGCAGGGGGTCAACATACAAAATTATTTAGATAAATTGAATAAAGTTATGTTTGGAATAATAGATGCTATCACATGCAACATACATACTTTAATGTTTAAATTTTAGAGAAAGATTGGCTCCCCAAACACAGGATTTTAGACTACACTTGATTTTTGGGATTCTGTGCAGAACACATGCATTCACTTGAACAGAATGTGGTAGCAGATGCCTTTACTTACTTCTAGTGGGAATTGAGAATTTTGATTCATAAATACAAGGCTACCTGCCAGTATACCTAATGAGATTTCTTATTCTTCCACTCTGAATCTTTTAGTGATCAGACTAAATCATCCTGTGTTATTACCTTGCACACTGTGAACCACACAACCTACTAAGCTGGGCATGAGGATATAACTGAATGTGTCAGTGGTAATTTTCTTTATAAGGGACAATTATATACCTCTATATATCTGTCTATATATATATATCTGTATCTATATCTATGTCTATATCTATATCTATAATCTATATCTATATCTATGTCATCTAATCTATTTCTATAATGTATCAATCGATATATATGTGTATATATAGTTTTATTGATACATGAGACACACACAATGCAAGTAGAGCTAAATATTAAACTTAGATTCATGTTACCAAAAGGTAAATCAACTTGAAACTCACTATTGATAGCTGTAGA